CTGTTTCTTCAAACTTGACAAGAGCTGCAGACGTGCAGTTTCAATGCATGCTTTCGAACAATGGCACAAAACATGCAGACAAACATACCTGGAAGAAAAAAATCTTGCAAGGCTGCAAAGGCTTTTTTTCGGCGGCGGTGCTTGAAGCTTCAAAGTCAGGCCTTAAGGGTGCTTCCTGCCTTAAAAGCCGTGGTTGCTTCTGTCTAACCTCATGACAAGCTGTGAAGCACTGCATGCATTTTATATGCTATAGCTATAGCCTAGACGACTGTGCTCGAAGCTGTTGCTGCACCCTGCAGGCTAAGTCTGCAAACGGAAGGGCCTACTCGGAACTGCAGCTACTCAAGCTACTCAGAAAGCTTTCCCAAGCTATATAGAGCCTGCACAGCTTCCCGAAGCCTGCAGTGGCGAGCTTTTCCAAGCCTTCAGCGGCGAGCTTTTCCAAGCTCTGAGGCCCTTTCCAGGGCTCACTTCCTCTTGCTGCTGGCAACACTTGGAGCCTTGTTCTCCAGGTGTCGCAGCTCTTTTCGCTCGTCTCGAGCCTGCTTGATCACTTGGGCTGTGGTTTCCAAGACCTTCTTGAGAGCAGCGAGCCCTTGCTTTTTCTTCAGGGTCGTCTTGAGCACCCCCTCCTGCTTCTCCAAGCTTGCCAGCCAGCACGTGCTTTTCGCGAGCCTCGACTTGGACAGTGTTCCTTTGACCTTTTCCAAGGTCTCTTCAGGCTCTGTCTTGCACTTGTGGGCTTGGCTCATGGCCTTGCGAACAGCGGCCTCTGCTTTCGCCACTTGCTTCTCGAGCGAAGGCTCCTCGCCCTCGTCGTCTGCCTTCCCGTCCTCCAGTGCAAGCTGGCCAGGCTTGCCCTTCAAGGCCGGCTTTCCCAAGCCCTTGCTGCCGCCCTTTCCAGGCCCTTTGAAGGAACTGCTGACCATGCCACTGCTGGGCATGGCCATGGCCTCGTCCCCGTACAGCTGCTGGAACTTTTCCAAGTTGTCTGGGCTCTGTTCCCCTTCGACACCACTTTCCCAAGTGGCACCCCGGGTGCCTTCGGAAGTACGGACAATTCTCTGGTTGTCCTTGTACTCCCAGACTCCCGGGGTGCTCGGGTCCTGCCGCCAGCTCACTCTGCCACTGGCAAGGTGAGCCTGCAGCTCTTGCTCCGTCCATCTGGTAAGCATGGTCTTCTCGCTTTCCCAAGCGTCCTTCTTCTTCACCTTTTCCAAGGCGCCCACGACCTGCTTGGAGGCCATGTACTTCTTACCTTCGCTTTGGAGCAGGAACAGAGCCGCACTCAAGCCCTTCTCCTTCTTGCTTTTCCAAGCATGCTCCGCCTGCTCGTCTTCGGAGGCATTCTTCAAGTAGGTCTTGTGCTTCCCCCAGGCGCTCTGGGCCTCCTTGTCCGTCAAGGACTCTTTCAGCACCGCCGCTTGCACCAGCGGGTCCTCGCTGGCGGCGGCAGCCTCTGCCACCTTCTCCTCCAAGCTTTTCCAAGCCTCGGGAACCTTCTGCAGGTTCTTCTTGTTCAGCTTGAGTTTTCCCAAACCCTTGGCCTTTGCCTTTGCCTTTGGCTTTCCCAAGCCTTTGGCCTTCGCCTTTGCTTTTGGCTTTCCCAAGCCTGCACCCTTGTTCTTCAAAACTGACTTCAACACTGTCTTTTTTGGAGGCATCCTTCAGTGCCTCGGGCTTGCTACTTTCTAAAAACTCCACTTCTCACCCTGATTTTGATTTCGCAAGCGGCTGCGGATGCAAACATGCTTTCGAGAATGACAATGCCCATGCATGCTTCGCCAAGGTGCTTTGCTAGATAAAACCAACATATGCATATCAATTTCAAAATTCCGTTTCTGTGTGCATGCTAGAAAATATAAAATGCTGCATTAGAAGCAACAGCAGAAAACTATTATGTTTGTGTATCTGTGTATATATATATATCCATATGATAGCATGCATATATATATATATATATATAGTTGTAAGAAGAAGAGAGATATAAATAGAGAAAACAAAAAGAAAACTTCATGCAGTTTATAGGAGTGGGGATTTAAAGGGTCTGGGGTTTTGGGGGCTTGGGTATTTATATAATTCCTTTAGGTTTGGGGTGCTAGGGGTTTTCAGGAGGGAGGGTTGTAGCATTAGTGGTTTGGGCGTTTTTCTTTTGAGTGGGGTGGGTTCTGCTGGTGGTGCTTATGGTGGTGGGTTTCGTGGGTTTGGTGGCTTTCGTGGGTTTCGTGGGTTTGCTAATGGTGGTGGTGGTGGTGGTGGTGGTGGTGGTGCTGCTGCTGCTGATTGTGGTGGTGGTGGTGGTGGTGGTGGTGGTGGCGGCGGCGGCGGTGGTGGTGGTGGTGGTGGCGGCGGCGGCGGTGGTGGTGGTGGTGGCGGCGGCGGTGGTGGTGGTGGTGCTGGGTTTGCTGGGTTTGGTGGTGGTGGTGCTGGTGCTGGTGGTCGTGGTGGTGGTGCTGGTGCTGGTGGTCGTGGTGGTGCTGCTGGGTAGTGGCTGGTGGTGGTGGTGGTGGTGGTGCGGTGGTGGTGGTGGTGGTGGTGGTGGTGGTGGCGGTGGTGGTGGTGGTGGTGGCTGCTGGTGGTGGTGGCGGTGGTGGCGGTGGGGGTGGTGGTGGTGCTGGTTTGTTTGTACCGCAGTTAGGAGAGATCCGAACGTTGCGACAGGAACTAGGTCAGCGAGTGTTCGCCGGATGCATGGTGCATCACGCTGCTGTTGAGCGTACCAAGACTCCGCGCTGTCACGAATGACAGCGCACATAACTATAAAGGACCAATGCGCACAACGCGAGGCTATTCCCCGCATCGACCGTGTCTACGACACAGGTGTGCTCAGCATTGCCCGTGATGGCCATGTTCCGTCAGCGAGTGCTCCGTCATCAGCGCAGGCAGTCGAAAACCAAGGTTCAGGAGCCGTTTCCTTGAATCAGTCGAAAGTCTCTGTAATGAGCGCACGGTATAGCCGATGAGGATCAGTCTGTCCCCGCATGACCACGGCGTGGTAGCATGCTTCAGGAGCGGACTAAACGTACAGTGCGGCCATCCGATTCTGTGCATCGTACCAGGACCTGAGGTCTGATCAAAGACGTGGGCTCCGGCAGCGTTCTGAACCCATAAGCTCCCTCCTTTCCAGCGAGAACAAGGAATCACTGCGTTGAGTGAGCAGGGATCGTTATGGGCATCACTGTGAAGCTGCATCAAGGTGTTCCTTTGAAGCGTGACTGATGAGAATGTAAATTCAGGCCCGCAGGCTTCGCGGATGATTGCCGTGAGCGCCCGTGTGACTTGCGGGTACAGCCCCGTGCTCGTCAGGATACCTGTGTCGTGCGCAAAGGTGTAAGCACCTGACGAGAAGCTGCATTGACGAGGCACATTTGCACTGAGCTGCTTTCGCCGTTTCGCCGTGGCCCGGTCCGGTAAAGCATCCATAATCGCTGAGAGATTCTCGAAGGTGGCAACGCCTGCGTCCAGGATACCATTAGCCATGTTCTCCACCGTGCACCGTCTCTTCGTCATCATGGTGGCCTCGCCTGGAAAAGTGAGTGCCAGTTGGTGTGGTGGGTGGTTGCGAACCGACTGATGGCACATATCCAGAACGTGTTGCTGCTGGCTCTCCATAACATTCCACTCCTCAGTAACAGAATCCGCTGAAGTGAGGGGCTCGACGCGTGGAGGACATACCAGTTCCAAATCCATATCCTCAGCGATTAGGGGAGGAGATTTAGGGCTCTCGGGGTCAAGGTCGGTGGAGGCGGCAGGCTCAGATGCCGAGCTGTGCAGCGAGCTGGGTGAGTCCACCTGATTGGCGAAGCGTGGGTGCGCTGGGCCCAAAATGGAGGGGAGCTCAAGTTCCCATACTTCTGCAGGCACGTTATCGGGCTTGCTGGGCCACGACTGATGTGACGTGCTGTCGGCTGACATGGCATGCATGGACAATGTGGGCTTGAGCGGTGAGGCGCAAGAGGAAACAAAGAGTGGGGCAGTCCAGCACTGGGGAGGACACATGAATGCAGAAAGGTATGCGATGCAGTGGAAGCAAGGGAGACGTTTTGAAGCCCACTGAATTTGCAGTGCGGCAAGTCCCGCGGCGAGCCCCCGGCCCGCGGCCTCTTCCCCATGCCTCGCCGACAAGACGGGGCAAGAAGATATCGTGGTGCATGTGTGCTGGGCCTCTTGAAGGCCAGCTAATCCCCGCGCCTGCAAAGCAACATGTAAACCTCCCTGGATGCGAGAGCGTCCCCTCGTCTGAGTCCCGATGTGTCGCTCAAGGCTGTAGGCTCGAGGCCGTCATCACAGAAGTAATCAACACCTGAGGCATGGTCATGTATGATTGTGGTGTAATGGCCTGACTGGATGTCTGGACCACGGTGCAAGACAGCGGCTGCTACAGTGTATGTGACATTGCAAGATTCCATACCCTCCCCCGTGAAGCATGACATGTTGATGGTACGGGGCCATGTAATAAGAGCATGGTGCTTACATGCTCCCTCGGGTCCGTGCGTGTAACGAGCAAATCTGAGCGCCAGGAGCTCAGGCGGCACCCTAAGGGCATGTACAGAAGCTTGATGGTGCCACGCATGTAAGAGACTTTGAGTCCCTAGCTCATCCCCGTTTGGGAGGTCCAGAGTGACTGCCTGGTGGCACTCTCCGGACTCTGTAATGCGAATCCCGAGTTCCGTGTCACGGCGCGCCTCCCATTCCCCCGAAGTTGCCTGGGGGCAGAGTTTGCGGATCAGATGTGCGAGGAATTCGGCGCTATCATGCTGTCTGTGTGCGTTGGCCCAGCCTGTCATGGCAAAACGCCATAGGAGCATACCTGGTATGAAATGAGGGCGGCGCGGCAACCTACGCAGAAAAGAGAATGCCTGGCATCCAGCGTGCGTGAGAGCCATCGGGCCGTCCTGTGAAAAATGGTCACCGTTCAGGATGGTCCAGAGGAGAGCTCTGGCGGAGGCATTAAAGTAACAGTAGTTACCTGGATTGCTAAGAGTGATGGTCCTCAGGAGTCAGGAGTACACGCGATCCAAGAGCTGCTGAAGCGTAGGCGGACGCTGCATGGTCTCTCTCCTGAACTGAACCCCCGCCAATTGCAGGGCGGCACATCCTTGGAGCTGCGTGAGAAGATCGAAGAGTTGATTCGCTTCGGAGCAGCGGTTCGCGACATCCATGAGCACTCGGACTGTTTGTCCTTCCATGCCTTCCTCGAGGCCCCGCAGCGCATGAAAGCGTGACAATGTGTCTGGGTGGAGAAGCCCTTGAATTTCCTGGAGGATCCTCAAGAGCTCTCCCGGAGAGATGGGGGTCCGCGCGGTGTCCACCGTCAGTGCCTTGAGATCTGGGCACCACCTCTGATAGATCCATAGACCAGCGTCGTTTGCCCATCCCGAGCTCTTCACCGTCTTGAGGGTCTCCTCGCTCGGGCTTTGGACCGAGGACTTGATGAATTCTATCAGACTCCAGAACATGGCCTGTCTGATGGGAGTGTTCTTGAGCTTGCTGTCTGGCTTGACCACCGACTCTCGCCACACCTTGGCAGCCTGAACCAGGGCAGGGATTGGCGACGGTGCCGGGATCTTGAGCCACCATACCCACCCCGTGCTGAGTCGGAGCGTGGAGATCGCCTCCTGGTGATGCATTAGAAGTCTGGTCACCAGCCTCAGCGTCTCCTGTTGACCCTGTTGTCCTCGCTGCTGATGCGTCTGGCCCTGAGATTCTCCGCCCTGCTGACCGCCCGAGCGGTTCCCCCTGCCGTAGCGATGGCCCTTTCCTTTCCCACCTGAGTTGGGTTTGCTTGCCTTGTTCTGGCGCTCTGGCGCGTTGGCTGTGTCCGTGGGCTCCGCCGTGGTTGGGCGCTTGCCCCTCATCACCGGACCGAAGAGCTCCTCCATCGCCGAGTCTGCCGCTGCGGGGTTCATACCCATGTTGTAGTGCAACAAGGCAGGCTTGCCAGAGCGCGATGCAAGTGGCAAGGTGTTGTCTCGGATGGGCCCTGGCTTGTCCACAGTAGAGGCACGGCGAGAAGGCTCCACCTAGACGGGCGGCCAACTGAGTGGCTTGCTCGTTAAAGACAAATGGCTCAGGATGTTGGCTGCGCATGTGGATTTTAATGGTGTGGGAACGGTCGTGCCATTGTCCACAGAACAGGCAGTGGTGCGCTAGCTCATTTATCCACTCCGCCCTCATAAGTCCCTGGAGTCCGGACAGCCGGAGAACCTGCATGGCCTCCGTAAGGCGTGCAAGCGAGGTCATGACCGCTGGTGCGCTTCTCTCCTCTTGAGTGTCTACCTTAGGGACTGACATGCCCGTCGGCCTTTGTGTCTCCTGCTGTCGGTGGCAAGGCTTGTCATCATCGGGTCGAGAAAGGTGGGGCACAGCTGACGAGAGTGCGACCGCATCCTTAGCCGAGCTGGCATTCTGATTCACGGATGTTTCCTCGGTGCACATGGCGGGCTGGGAGTCTAACCTTTCCGTGGGGAGTTCCTGAGTGCAGCGCTGCTGGGTAACGTGGGTCTCCAGCACCTCCCATCGCGCGAAGGCGACGCCACATAGGGCACAGATCGGCATACCCTGAAGTGCATGCTGCGCTCGATTGAACCGGACCTTACGCATGTAGAGCTTGTGAACCTTGGTGATATGCCATCGCAAGGTCGAGAGGCTGTGGTATTCCTTGGGACAGTGAGGGAATGACCATCCAGTTGTCTGTACGCGACTAGCCTCAACAGGCGGCGCTATGGCTTCATGGGTGGAGGGGACAGCGGTTGTGGCCGGGGGTGTTAGGGGAGCGATGGGTGGCGGAGTGTGGTAGGTGGCATTAGGCTGTAGATGTCTAGGATGCACAGGGTCGCGAACGGCGTTGAGCACGGCAGGCCTATTAGGTGGTGACAGGTTGTCAACCTCAGGAGCGTCCACGCTAGCATCCCTGTTCCCTTCAGGC